TGTAGAATTCTGCAAAGAGATCTTTATCACTAATATAGGCAAGCAGCTTAACTACCTACAGAAACCGAACAGATATTTCAGAATCAATTCAAAATCGGCATAACTTTAACATATAATTGATAACCTACCTTCTCAAGTGTTTCTTCAATGGCTTCATCACTTAATTTCTCACTTCCACCCTTTTTGAGGATATTATCACAGAAAGTAGCCAAAAGCTCTGCACTTGAGCTGCCAGTAACCGTTTTGTTGCAGAATACTTCAAAAGCCTCTTTCAAAGCCTATTAACATTTCAACAAAACATGAGTCAGGGGAAATGATTGAACATGATCATAATAGACATTTAGGACTACAATTTAGAACACTAACCTTGTGGAAGAGAGTATGGTTTTGAAAACAGTCAGTCACATATGCCATATACTTATCATGAAGCTCGATTATTTTCCTGATAAGGACCTGGTAATTGCATACAAATTCTCAACATCTATACTGATTTCAAGAGAATCAGTAGGCAATAAAAGTTGGGATATTTACCTGTTCCTGTGTACCTGAAGAACTTGTGGCCTGTAGAAATGAGTGACTATTAGCACTTAAAACCAGAAACAGGTGAGTATTAGAAGCAATAAATTATCATCTATTTTTCTCTCGATGGTGGGGAAATATTAGTCTGTAGTCGTAGGGATATGATCCCTCCCCCACCCCCACCCAAAAAAAAGAGAGAGATAAAAAGGGAAAGTTTGCAGTTGACAAGTGAAAAGGTTACATAAGAAATTTAGTACAGAAAAAAATCCTAACAAACAAATAATTTTAGCCAGAAAAAACCTTCATGAATTAACTTTAGTACAGAAGAATATCAATAAATGTATTCAGCAATCAAAGGACAACAACAAAACTAACCTGGCTATTTGCCGCATCTTCAACCTGTTGGACCAAGGCGTTACCTTCAGCAGTAATATGCTGAAAAAAAGGCACTCAGAAAGGTTCAGTAAAATCAAGGAATAACATAAGAATGATGACCCTTTATCTTGCAGAATAGATTAAACAGAAATTCAGACCTGCTTGAATATATTGGCAACAGGATCCAAGCCTTTGGGTATTTTAGAATAAAGCCTATACATTCTAGAAAGATCCTCCACCTAGAAAGTGTAAACAAAGTGAAATAAATATCTGATATATATTTTCTAAATCAAAGAGCCATAAGCTAAGCCTTGCTAGCAAAAAATTGATATTGCACCATACCTTGTCATCTCTAAGCAAGGCCCTGCACCCTGAATATTCTTTTTCAAGTAGCCGATTTGCATACACAACCAACAACTCATGTTGCACTTTCTAGAAACAGAATAAAAAGCTATTAATAGAGTGCTCTAGATATTATAGAATTGTCTTCATAAGAACTCTATTTTATTCTTATTAAAGTAATATACATTCCACCTAAAGAGAATTCATATAACTTTTATTGTAAAATCTTAGTGACAACTTTCACACATAAAAAAGTATACATTTATGTCCCCTCTTTTGGCAAACAATTAAACAGATTTTATCTAAAAAGGAAAGTGCACCCCTCACGCCAACGTAAGCTCAGAGAAAGAGCTCACCATTAACATATAAATTTACAAATTACAACAATTCAACTAACCTCTGACAACTTTGTCTCACTGCTTGAATGCAAGTAGTGGGACACTCTGTCCCTTTCCTTCTTCAGGCATTCTTCAGACTGCAATTAGCATTAAAATAAACACTATAAGAATCATCTGTGTTAATCATGGCATAACTCTTATAACCTAAGGAAAAAAAATGCAGGAACATTTTCGCACCTTCAACATGTAATCTGGACAAGAATCTTCCTCAATCCAGCTTGATGCTTTTCGTGAATAGTAAGCACCAGTATCCTGAAGCATGGCTCGTTCAAAATCATCCTCATAACGATCCATTTGTCCCATGCCGATCTCAACAAAAATATCTAATACATTCTTCAGTAATGCTCTGTCTATCTGCTCTCCCTCACGCTCTTTATCAATCTGATATGAAGTAATCATTCCGCTTAAGTTTTATATTCAAAATGTTAATTAAATACAATTAACAATGACACAATGATGTAAACTTACAAGGGCAATTACAGCATCTCTGACTTTTTCATGCACTTCCATATATACCTGAAATGAGTAAAACATATAATACATAGTCAAAATCCAACTCATCATAGCCGAATCATTATCATATAAAGGCGCCACTTGAAGAACTAATGACAAACCAGATCACGGAAGCAGGTCAGTCCAACTTCATTAAGTGCGGGGAGTGATCTCCGAGCAATGAAATAGCGATCAAGATAATGGAAGAAGCGTGATAACCACCTGACCATTACTTTATGGTTGGCCCATCTCTTAACAAGCTCCCTCAGCATGAACTCATCATGCTTCTCTCTTAAAGATGGCAATACCTGGTTTTAGAAAAGAGGGGAAAAAGCATAATTAGCACAGACAAGTAGATAAAAAGCCTTCATATCCTATTGGAGAAAACTATTAAAACTAGAGTTTACCAAATTATCCAACAACAAAAGCATAAAACTTTAAAACAATTACTAAAGCAACTTGAAAAACAATATCAGACAAATAAAACCAAAATTATCTGAGCGTGGAAGTTCAAATGGAGCAATTGATACGCAACATTCCTTTCAGCCCCATAAATAGGCACAATAAAAGATGTTAGCAAAATTCATTTCTCTTTCAATAAGCATTTCCATAAGATTTCACACAGAGAAGACCAGTTCCATTAGTTTCACGTAAAACACTAATCTATAAAAAGAGCAAGACAGACAAGTAGTCAGCACAAAAAATGTTAGCTAACATAAAAACAAATTCCTTACCGTTGAAGTAATATATTCTTCAAATGCCTCACGGTACTTGTCATAGAGCTGTTGAGAAAAATCATGAGGCGGCTTTTGAGTGCACATGTTGTAGATGGTCCTATAGTAGTTTCAATCAAGGAAACATGATGAGAATCGAGATACCAGATAGCTAAAATTAACATGCAGCTCGGGGGGGAAAATCAGAAAAACTTGAAAAAATAAGTAATGCGGAATACGTATAAAGCATCATATATTCTTCTGAGCTGAATGGAGGCTCCGGCAGTCCTTCTAAAATACTCTTCAGCTTTGTGATCCCCTTATGCATATAATCCCATCCCTGATCCAATTCAATAGTCTTGCGCTCCATTGTCCTAAAAGTGGAGAAAAAATTTCTTCAAATTAAAACCTGAAAAGCCCTAGCATTGTCAAAAACACGGAAACCCAAACAATCAAACATTAGCATCAAATTTGCAAGATAAACAACTCAACCTTCCATATATATAAACCAAATAATAATATATCAATAGATGAAGGTCAAACATTGACGAAAAAACCCTAACAAAAGAGCAAAATTAGCTCAAGAACCAGCAAGAAAAATATAATTTATACACAATGTCACCTCAAACGAAGCCGTACCCACAGATAAAACATACCCCAATAATCGATCAAGAAAAACAACATAAAGAAATAGAACTGATCGGAAAGTACTGAAAATATTGAAAAATTAATCGATCGGACAAAAAATACATTGAGAATAATCGGAAAAAGGCATACCAGAAATAGGATCGGGAAGCAGTTCAACGAAAGAAACCCTAACCTTATCGCTAAAGAAGAATCGAACCGGAAAGGGGAATTGGAGGAAAGGAACGTGATTATGGAAGAGACGAATGGTTGAAAAAGGCAGTAGAATGAATGTATATGAAGAAAAAGAGGGCCTTTCTTTTGCGAGAATTCGTTTGAAAATAATTTCTACCCCAATTGAAAAGTTTAGCCCTTTTGAAGCTTTGACCTCCCCAGATTTCGCCTTTGCTGCTTAAAAGCTTTGGGCTTTGATTTGAAGAAATGCAGACTACTTTCGTCCTACTTGTTTTATACATCTCATTGGGCCGGGGAAGAGTAGAGACCGAGAGTTGGAAAATAATCATTTGGTCTATTTTAGTACTTAAAAGGGTAAATTACGTGTTTAAGTACTTAAATTATTAGTTTTGATCTATTTTAGTACCTAAATTTTTATATTTTTCAAAATAATATTTAATGTTTAGTTTTTGTAACATTTTAGTACTCGTTAAAAATTTAATATTAAGTTTTGAAAAAATGAAAGTTTAGGTACTAAACGCGTGAAGTTTTTAACGACGGGTATTAAAATGAAACATAAACTAAACGTTAGGTATGATTTTGAAAAAAATAAAAGTTTAGGTACTAAAATGGATTAAAACTAATACTTTAGATACTAAATGCGTAGTTTATCCTAAAAAATCATATCTTATGAGTTTTGGGACGATAGATCTTGAATAAATTTATTTTTTTAGGCCAAGTTACTTTTTAGGATCATGTTTGAATTTAAGGTGTCATAGGAAAATTACAAATATTTCTATATATGGTTGGAGATGGATTGAGCGGCGAGTTAAGGCAGTCATCCCTTAAAATTTTTAAATTCTCATATATTTTAGATTTTTATGTGCATTTTTTTATTAATAATATTTTTTTCATCTCATGAAAATTTTATTAGTTTGTTTCCATCTAAAATTTTATACGTTCACCCCAACATAAAATCTTCCGTACATCCCTTTATACGACTAATTATATTTACAAACTCTAAACATAAATTATAAAACAAACATTATCATAAAAGTACACTAAACCCTAAATCTAAACAACATACACATTAATATATAGATGCAATGATTACTAGGGTTTACTAGGGTTTAGCCCAGATGAAACAAATGTAAATTCCTAGGGCTTGATTCGAGATTATCTTCTTTTTCATATTAAAATGTGTGTAAAAGATGGAGCACGTGGAGAACATTGATCATGGCAAGATGTCCAAAGAGTAAAATTCTTTCTTTCTTTCTTTCTTTTTTCTCTACACAAATTTGCTGTAGCTTGTAGCTTACAAGACGAAAGGAGCTCCATATTTGTTGTTTGTTCAGATTCTTTATGAAGAAGATGGAGACCAGCTGGTAATTTGATGATAAGATAATTGGGAAGTGGACCCTTTGAATATAAGCTTTGTCATCTTCAAGCCAAAAGCTGTAGGCTGAGGCTCAGACATCCCAGATGGGCTTTTCCATGGCTGAATCCTGTTGTTGGAAAGGGTTTATCATCGGTAATCTATGTTGCTGAAGGTGTTCTTCATGCAAATTGGTTGGCCTTGCCCCTCCGATCCCCATGAAATCGAGTGTCGTCATGTTACTTCCTCCGCCGCTCACTCCGAACATCGACAGCAGCACCGTCGAGTTCCTTTCCATTGCCTGAGATCTCCCTTGTACTAGCCCGGACCTGTCACTGTTATCTCCATGTTCCATACTGTTCATCAAGCCTTGGTTTCGTTCGGCTCCATTGATGAACATGGTGGTGGGGGTGGTGAACATTCCCATATCAGTCATTGCTCCTGTGGTGACATTGAAAAGCTGTGCCATTTCGTTGGGGGATTGACTGATCCCAACCATCGTTGAATGATGATCGGCATGCGACGAGAAATGATCGTATGATGATGTGTTCTGTTGCTGAATCCCGTTAAACGACGGTGGTCGAATCGATTGGTCCACGGTGCCCGCCATGCTACTAACAAAGCTTTTTTGCATCATGGGTGAGTTTATACTATTACTTGCGGTTGCACCCATTTGAGCTGCTTTCTGCAGCAGAGCTGTTGCAGACATGTAGGGTGACCCTGAAACTTGGCAACCACTTATGCTGTCCTGTAAATAATTGAAGCTCGATGAGCTGTTCGAACTAAGTTGTAAGCTCGAGGGCGACGAGGAAATGCTTCTCGGACCGCAGAATAAACTGCCCGAGCTGCTCGAAAACATGCCTCCTCCCATGTTCATGGACTTAAACGGCATCGGCACTAGCTCTTGAGGAAGGGATTTGAGCATGTTCTTCGAGTCGAAGTTGTTGAAATCAGATATACCCATATATGCATTCGCGTTGCTCGATGGCGTCAGCTCTGGCAGTTGGTTCGATGATCCGATATTGTTCATGAGTGCTCCATGGTTTACCTTGTTGTTCTCTTCAGCTAATGCATCACAGAAAGCTCTGTGTGTGATAAAGCTGTCTCTCCTGCATAACGAACAAGCAGTGGATAAACATCTTTATGAGAAAAACAAAACATTTGTTAGCAGAGCTAATGCAATGTATTGAAGTTGAGCACGTAAATTAAACCTGGAGAAGATGGTACCACAGTCACATTTGTATTCCTTAGTACCACAGGTCTTCTGATGAGCTTTCCAATCGGATTGAACCGCGTATTTCTTCGAGCACTTGTCGCATTTCCACTTCTTCTCCCCGTGCTTACGGCTAAAATGCTTCTTGATCCCGGTAAGGTCCCCTAGTGCACGAGCCGGACTGTGGTGCACGCAACTCGGCTCGGGGCATATGTAGACTCGTTTCTTCACCTCGGTCGTCGTCCTTTGCTTCAACTTCCACGGAAGATTGTGACCTCGCCGGTGCAGCTGCAGGTTCTGGTCCCTCTGGAACCCTTTGTTGCATATCTCACACACAAACCGATTCGTGGCCATGAGCGTTGTCGGCGATAGAGCAATAACTTCAGCAGCCGGATCTGATTCAGAACCAAATTAAATAAGAATTGTACGCAACTGTATATAGTAAAAGAACCGATGGCCCCATACAACAACAGTCCGAAACAAAAAGGGAAGTGAAAAGTGCAATCAAACAAACAGTTTCCTGGCAAATTATTGTAAACCCCATAGCAATAATTGAACCCTTTTTCCCCTTCCAAAAAAGCCATCAGCTTGAAGATACCCTCATCAGACAAAACCATACACCCAAAGCCATTTTTTTTATCATAAGATCACATGAAATAAAACAACATGAAATCAGCACAGAAAAATGGGATCTTTGCCTGGTGTTCCTGGTAAATTCCTCTTCTTCTTAACTGCTTGAAGTGGCTGTTGAGAGGAAGAAGAGTCATTGCTGTTTGAAGCAGCCGATTGCAGCTGTGACCTCTGCTGGACTTCCTCTCCTGTGTTCCCTGAAGAGAAGCTCCCATCATCACCTGTAATATTCGACATAATTCGAACCAAGAGAGCTGACGATTATATACGCACACACACTCACAAACACAAACAAGATTGTCAGTTTCCTTTGATTTTCCTTTGGTAACTAATCAAAAAGTGGGGCTTGGCTTGTTTTTTGGCGAACAAAAAAATCAGGGTCAGTGAAGAGGAAGACAAAACAAGAGCAGGGAATTGAAATCTCCTCCGTTTATGGTGAAGGAAGAGAGAGAGCTCTAGCTGACACAGGAAGTAACATTGGAACCGGGTCTTATTTGGCTTCATATAAATATATATGAACATGGTTAAAAATTTGAATAGGACAACTCGTCACATTTGCCCTCATTTTTCTCTCTTTTTAATTTCATTGCCATTTCTTTATTTGATAATAATATATATTTGAACTTATTTTAGGAAATAAACTTTCTCAATATCATTATTTTCATTATATATGTATATATAGGGATGATATATTGTTAAAATGCAAAATCCTTTAATTTTATATAGATTTAAGACAGTTGGATGAATGAAAATATATGACTAAAATTAAAAATAAGAAACGTGAAGATATTTATTGAAAATATAAAATAAGGGGTCAATCTCAACCATTTATTTTCATTCATCCAACAGTCCTAAATTTGTATAAAATTAAAGAGTTTTATATTGTGTAAGTGGATCTTAACCCATATATATATATATATATAATCTGATTAAAAAAAGGGAAAATCCCATAAGCTTATCATGCCATTTGTTTTTTGTTTTTTTCACCATTTGACATTAACACTCGTATTTTTGGTATTCCAGATGTTCGAACATGAAACCTCAAAGATCGTTTGGTTCGTGCTTGCATGACACCTATGATGAATAAATACATTCCCATGTCCTTTTAGGGTAAATTACGTATTTAATACCTAAATTATCAATTTTGGTTTGTTTTAGTACTTAGACTTTTGATTTTTTTCATAATCATACCTAAATTTTATTTTTATTTTATTTTAGTACCCTGCCATTAAAAACTTAATGTGTTTAGTGCTTAAACTATCGGTTTTAGTATGTTTCATACCTAAACTTCCATTCTTTTTTAAAATATTACGTTAAATTTTGAACGGGATACTAAAATGAAACAAAATTAAAGTTTTTAATGGTGGGATACTAAAATGAAACAAAAACTAAACTTTAGGTATAACTTTGAAAAAATTGGAAGTTTAGGTACTAAAATGGATCAAAATGGATAATTTAGGTACTAAATGCGTAATTTACCCTTTTTATTATTATTGTTTATAAGTATACAAATGATCCCCGACTATATGATATTGTTTTATTAAGGCCCTCAACTATTAAAAGTTACTAAATGGTCCTTCAATGATAGAGTATTGCTTTGTTGAGTCCCTCGACTATTAAAAGTTTCAAAATGGCCACTCGACTATTCATTATGTTCGAAATTCATCCTTTTCCGTTAAAAGATTGACGGCATTTTGAGCTGAACGTTTAAGGATACTGCTTTATTAAGTCTCTCGACTATTCATTAAAAGTATTAGACGTGTAATTTACCCTTTATTATTATTATTATTATTATTATTATTTATTGTAATTGTCTCATAATAACATTTAAGGAAATGTTCAAACACAAATCACCAAAAGCCTGGGTTTAGAAAGAGAAACAACAAAGAGACAGAAAGAATAATGATGAAGCATCGGCTAAGTTGTGAAACTATGGTCCATAAATATCATATATTTCAGAAAGAAATGCCATTTTTTTCAAGCATCTTCAACATCTCCATCACCAACTATAATGGTTACAAACAAATAAAAAATAAGAATTGCTTAGTTATCATCGATGGCTGATCGATATATTTTATCAAGGAAACACAACAATGTCAAGACACAGATGTGTTTTTTATTACTAAAGGACAAGAGCAAGCACAATTTATCGGGTGCTGGAATGTAGGAACAAATGCTGCAATAATTTAGAACCAACCAGGTTGCTAATCGACATTAGCCAAGCAACCCCATGCATAAAAACAAAACAAAGGACAAAAAGATGGCGTTGTATTCTTTCTTGTTTTTAGAATATTTTAATGGTCCCTTATGTTTTCGGTCTGACCAATTTTGGTCATCAATTTAAAAAGTAAGGGGGAATGATCCCTAATAGTATCGATTCGTTCGATTTTAGTCATTCAGTCGTTAACTCCCGTTCGGATTTTAGCCCCTCAAGCCTCAGCCATGTTAGGGACTTAAACAAAAAGGGGTTAACAAAAATTAATGGCTATGAGACTAAAATCGAACGGATCAATAACATTAAATATTATTTCTCTTTAAATTTTAAATCGGTGACCAAAGTCGATCAGACCCTAAAGATAAGAGACTATTTGTATAGTTTGCCCTATTTTTTCGCATGAAAGTGAGGTTTGATCAAGGTGAATATACACTAATGATTATTCTTTTGTTCGTTGAAATGGACGCCTTTTTTACGATAAAGAAAATGGCAAGACATTTTTTGTGATTACAGGTTACATAGTATATGTTTTAAAGAATCTCAATTATTTGATAATGAACGTTTAAATATCACATAGTTATATGCTCAAATTTGAAAAATTCTAATAATAACAATAATCTCTTTAACCACTGAAATCACTTGATTCGTTTTAAAATGACAAGAACTTAATTTAGTACTTAAACTATAACTTTTAGTTCGTTTTAGTATCTAAACTTTTATTATTTTTCAAAATCATACTTAAACTTTAGTTTTTATTTCATTTCAGTATCATTGTTCAAAATTTAACAATAAGTTTTAAAAAGAATTAAAAGTTTAAGTACTAAAACGGATAAAAATAGACAGTTTCGGTATTAAAAGCGTTAAGTTTTTAACGACGGGTACTAAAATGAAACAAAACCTAAACGTTAGATATAATTTTAAAAAAATTAAAAGTTTAAATACTAAAACAAATCAAAACTAATAGATTAAATACTAAATACGTGATTTTTCCTATAATCTCTCGTTTGTTGAAATTGACACTTTTTTTTACGATAAAGAAAGCTATAATTGATCGGCTAAAATGGAAAGCACCTTTTATTTTTTATTACTTTACGATGATTACAAGTTACGATATATATTTTAAAGATTATTAGTTATTTGATAATGAACGTTTAAATATTTCGAATAATCGATGTTTAAATAATAATCATTCATTTAATCACGGAGATAATTTGATTCATGTTAAAATGACAATAACTTAATTTTTCTATATACATATCAATATGATTAAAAGGTTTAAATATACGTTTAGTATCTAAATAAAACATGTTCTTTCGAGTTGGTATTCAAATTAAACACATTTTTCACCTACATAAATTTTACCTTCAAGTTTATACAAGAACTTTAATTTCATTCGTTATTTCGACATTCTTTTCATTAACGATGTTAAATTTTGATGTACAATGCCATGTTATCATATTGTCGAATTTAACATTATTAATAAAAGTGTAAAATCGTTTGATATAATTTAAGTTTAAGTATTAATTTGAGAGTAAAAACTTTTTAGGTATCAATTTGGAAAAATTGTTTAATTAAAATATAAAACGTATATTTAAATTAAAATAAAATATTTTAATTATAATTTTTATGATCATCAATTGGACCAAGGGATTGGAGATTAATAGGAGGGAGAAAGAAAAGAACTTTTCTAATCCAATACATCTTTGACTCGTTAAAGATGAATATAAAAAGGGCATTAATTAATTAAACTAACAAGGCAATTTGGGATTAGAATATGGCATTAAATTAACGATTAACATCATCATCAATTCACCACCGGCCTAATGAACGTGGGGTCTCTCAAATCTTATCCATGTGGGAAGAGAAATTATCAGCTACGCTCAGGGATGGACGAGAGTGTTGAAGATACGGTCATATCTTTAAGAATTTAAAATAATATTATAGATAGTCTTTATATTTTATATGAAATATTTGATTTTACAATTTTTAAAATTTTATAATCTCGTACCCCTAAAATTTTAATATGATATATCCATACCTCCGACATAAATTTTTGTATCCGCGTTACGCTAATAAATGGAAATGGACCCAATGCGTGGACCCTCCATGCATTGACCATGTCTTCAACGCATTGTTTTTAAAAAAAATAAGAATGCTTTCTAAGACCTAACACACTTTACTTGACAACAGGACGAGTTTGTTAAGTTTGGACACCATGATTTTATACGAGAAAGAGATAAATTAACTGGAAAAATAACAGTCATCTGTTTGCAGGTCAAATTATGAAGAAGACAGTAAGAACCACCTTTGCTAGTTGTTTTTAGCCTGGAAAAAGGCCCTACTTTCTGGGATTATGACCCCAAATCAGATCGTCGAAACAGACTTATGTTTAAGATGAACATGTTTCGAACTCCTGGATTTTGTCTGCAGTTAGTTGCAGTGAATACATGACGGACTAGGGAAATGAAGCGATCACCGAAAAACGCAATGCTTCGGAGGACATGGTGGGTGGGTGTTGTTTCTTTCTGGTACAGTTTGTGTATCGTGATTCGCCACTCATTTCTCGGTGTACCGGATTGTGATGTGAGATTGACTCGCCGTTTTGTTGGCACTGCCGAAACCATCCTAAGTTTTACCCATGTTGGGGTTATTAGCACCGTTTCTAAAATGGGCACTAACATGAGGCCTCGAACGTACTCGTCGTGAGTTATTCTGGGAAGCCTCTGCTGGCTTTCTCTTCCTCTTGGGACTGAAGAACCCACATTCAAGAGCTTCTAATGCTTTTGTGGTTAGCGGTCGGTTCCTAGTGCTCTGCCTCAGGTTTTGCGGTGAAGGATGCTGATTGACGTCGGCACCTTTATCGGGAATCTTCGAATTCAATGACTCGGGCTGCACTGTTATCTCAGACTGAAAGAATGATATCTGTGAACAAGAATTGTCACTGTTTTGCACCATCTCGGAGAAGGGTCCATCGGTTTCAAAACCCGTTAAAACTTGAGGAACATTTAAGTCTATCAATGTATGAGACTGAGTCTTTGTCGGAAATCCTTCTACATACAAGCAGTTTTCAGAAACAACGCCTTCCTTTCTCCGGTCAGGACTGCCTTTAGACATAGAACTCGCAGGTGACAAGTTTTGCGATCCCGTTTCAATAACCATATCTTCACAAGCATCGGGCGAATTAGACCTACAGTGTGAATTGTTTTCATTTAACATCCTGTCAACTGAAAAGTTTTCAACACTGCAGCTAGATTCTCCATTGATACAATCCGTTAAAACCTGCAGTTTAGTAACAGGAACCGAATATTTTGAATCGCTACGCTTCACCTTTTGGCTGAAATCATTCTTCTTAACCTTTTCTTCTACGTCATGAAGCAGACTCCTGTTGCGGTTTTCTCGATTTTCCGCTGATATAATGCTTGTATCAGAGGTGTGGGGAATAACTATATTTGAGTTGCTATTTACACAATCCGATACGTCGACACATTCTCCCCCATTAGCCAGGGCAGCCTCGGGGGCAATTGTAGTACTAGTCTCTTCTGTTTCATCTTCAGAGTCACCCAATGTATCCTCCTCGGAATCGCTGGAAATACTAGAGGGGGTGGATAAGCTAGTAGCTTCAAGAGGTAAGCTTCTGAGCTCTCTAACTTGAGATCGTTCAGCCCCTCTGACTAAACTAGTATCTACAATCGTAAACTTCATTAGATCTCGGTTGCAGCCAGATTTTCGCGGCTTGAGGTAACAATTACGTTTATCTTTTGTAGAAATAGTATCAGGATCTTGTTTTATTACAGGGTCCAACTTATTTTCTAGGTCATCTCCGCTGCCTTTCGGCCCTTCGTTTTCAAGCTCAAGAAGGCCCGGTTCCGATGCAACTTTATTAAGAACGTCACTAACGGAATCAAAATAATGGTCTCCTTTCACTAGTCTCCTCCTTGAAAACTTCTTAACACCAGGTACAAGGAAAACCAGAGAATTCTTTAAACCAGAAAAAGCATGATCTTTTGGCTGTTCAGAGTGCCAACCCCTAGCTAAAAGTCGAGGCCAAACAGCTTCCCAGAAAAGATCGTTAGATCTAGCTTTGCTCAACCTAAAATCTCCAGTCAGGAACTTGATAATCTCCGCTGACGTAAGACTAGAACAAGCTTTTCCAACCGGTATTTCGGGACGAAAAGAAATTACATGATTCACTTTTACTGGCTCCATAGCATTGCCAGTGAGGTCTAGCTTTCCTTTGCCAATACTTACGGCTTTTACGAGCATACCAATGCCTACTGTGTTCCTTATAGCGAATACATATTCTTCGAAGGTAACTTTTCCCTCACCGAATTTCTTAGAAACCTACAACGATCGGAATTCATAAAACATCATGGTGAAATATTTTTCTCTGAAAAAATAGACTAAATATAGCTGCAAAATCATGTTAAAAAATTCAGCAGTAAATTGAGAATATAACAGCAATACTCTTACAGAAAGATCATGTGAGTAGGTATTGAGCATAGAAAAGTAGGGAAAATACCTCGAGCAACATATCTTGACATTCTTTTGAAATATGAGAAAATAATCGAGATAATAATTCATGTTGCCTCCACCCAGTGAACAGCTTTTGTCCATGAACACACCATCTGCTTTGTAACTTTCGGCATTCTGACCATCTACGATATCCATCGCACTTGTAAAATTTTCCATAATAGAAAGACAATATCTCTCCCATGGCTTTACTCTCAACAAATTTTTTAACAAGGATAAGGTTTTTTCCGAAGATGTATATCCCAAGAAGAAAACTGTCAAGTTCGATATCCTTCCATATTTCACTCGAAGAACCGGGAAGAGGACAAGCACCTCTATCCACCTGATTCAGCTTAGATTTTGGCTCCAGTGGGAGGAGTAATTCGGAATCCATCTTAGCCCCAGTTATAGGTTGAAGCTCAAAATTCTCTTCCATGCCTTTCCTATCACCTAATGTAGGGTATAGATTTTCAACTTTATACTCTCCACAGCCATGGCTCGAAGTAATGCGGCTCTCATCAATGTTTTCCAACTCAGAAGCACCACTTATGCTTTCAACTTCAGTGTTTGTCCAGAAAAGAGGGATAGGCAACCCTGTTGGAAAAGGGTTCGGGACATTCGATATGACATTTACATCCACTGGTCGCATTACAACCTGTAAACTCCGACATTCGCCAACTAGAGGTGGAATTTCCGCTTGGTATTGATCTCCAACACGAGGAACCAGCTGTGGATCTCCAGAAATTTCATCCAAAAGGGAACACGAAGCTAGTGATTTTTCAGATGGTTCATATTCAATGCCCTCCATGTCATTATCCAAAAGAGTGATGTCCATCTGATAAAGAATTGAGCCAAAAATAATTAAACTTTAACACTTTATTATGCCATACCTACATGTAACTGCTAAAGTAAACTCCTTTGAAGCTAAATGCCAAATACAATCTTCCTAAAGCAACAATTTTTGTTCGAGATTGAAAAAAACAAAGGAATCGTTCAATGAGTGAAAAATCACAATTACCAGCATTCATCAAAAAGAAAAACACACTTTTGCAGACTATGTTCATCAAAAAATACATCATAATCATCCCATGAACATACATTCAAAAGATACATAAAATTAAACCGAAATCAGTGATGAAACTTCCGACATAGTTCTCAAAGCCGAAAAATCGGAAGCCCTTGATCCAAAAGCATGAAGTCTCATCATTGCAATCTAAACAGATACCATAATATTTCTAGTAATCTAAACTATCAACAGAGAGAACCAAAACCAAATGGTAACCGACACTGAATTGCCAAGGCACATACTCATCATATACTGATTCAGCAGATTAAAAACAAACAAGCAAACAAAAACTTAAATCTAAATCTAAGCTACCCGAACGACACATAGCTGTCAGTTCATCAATGTCGAACAATCTCATCGAAACACGAGAGTAACATGTCCATTGTTTCAGTGAAAAACAAACATGCAATTCCCTTTGATTAAACACATAACAAAACAAACAATTAGAGAAAACAGTAAGAAAGGACATATTAACTGAGAAACAGTTGGTAATAAATGTATATAAACATGCAAAAAAGAAGTTTTTTTTTTTAAAAAAAAACATATAGCTAACCTTCATACAAGGAACTCCAAGTTAAAATCCACGTACCAAAACCAACCTGAGAAAAATGGGTTTTCGTTGTTATACACATATAAACCTCGATTCACACTTTTTTTCTTTACTTTTCTTTTACCATAAATAAAACTACAAGAAATAAATAAAAGAAAAGAACAAACCGACAAAGTAAAGGTCTTGGTTACCTTGTGAGACAGAGATTAGCTTTCATGGATACGAAAACAAGTTGAATTCTTGAGGACTTGGCAAGAAAATTCTCTGTGTTCTTTTGCTGCTAATTTAAAAGGAGAGCAAAAACGAAGAGAGAGAGAGAGAGAGAGAGAGAACAAACGAAGATTAACGCTTGTGTTCGGTTCGATTTATGAGAGTCGAGACCATACGCGGTCGTAGGTAGGTTTTGATACGTGGACTAAATGACCAAAAGGAACATGTCTAATTGCTTTGCGTTGCCCTCTGGACAATCCCATTTTAGGAAATTCGGGGATTTAAATGTTTTTGATTTCAGGAAAAAAGGTTTCTGGGTGAAAAATAAAAACAAGCGGCGATTAGTGGAAAAAATCATAAAAAGGAAATAAAATAAAATATTAATATTTTTAAGTTTTAAATATTAATATTTTTAATTATTTTTTAAATTTAAATATAATAAATATCTGCTCACTGTAAAATTAACCTCCACAATACCTCAATTAAAAAAACACTTACAAAAGTTTTGTAGATTTCTTTTAGTTTAAATGGAATCCTGCTAAACTAATCAGCCGAAATGTTATTCGCAACCCAACTACCACAGTGAATCACCACAGCTTCGGATTAGTCTTTCAACAGCAACCAAACATTCAAAATGAGAAAAACAATAAGGATGAAACAACCTGTGGAAGTGAGGCTTTGATTTCCGATGATCTAGGCGTCGTCCGAGAGAACCGTGCGGTGTATATGCCGAGATGGTGGCGACAAGGAATGATATACTACGATTTCATCATCGTCGGATGGCGTATAGAGGGGATCGGACATGATTTGTTTTGGAAAGACAAATGAATTTCAACTAGATCTACGACAATGGAGAGAGAGTTTCTATGGAATCTATCGTTAGATTTGTGTCAAGGAAAAACAAGATGAATCGAATGTAGTAATTTGGGTTTCGATGCGACAGTCATTAACGTTCGTAACCGGCCAGTGAAGCAACTTTCTTGGTTCTCCAGAGCACCACGGTAGAGAAGGTAAAAGAGAGAAGAAATGAAAAGAAAAGAAAGAAGAGGTAAGGAGCGCACGTGGTTTTAGAGAAATGTTGATAAAGTAAAAAGGGGTAAATCACAAGGTAAGTCATCCAAGTTTGGTGAAAGCTTAACCTTGTCTCTTAGTTTACAAATGGTTATAATTATGCCATAATAGTTTCTATAAGATCAATATAGTCCCTAATTTAAGTTATTAGATATTATATTGGCTTCACAAGTTTCTAGTTTTACCAATTGGGTCCTCGAATTATTATTTAGATTCTAATAAGTTATTTTTATGGCGAGGGAAATTATGTTGGAAATTGAGTTTGTATATTTGATGGTCCGGGTACGTGAGAGAAAAATTTGGAAGCTTGACCTGATACATCCTGATCCATTCATATGAGTAAATTGTGATCAGTCGTATGGTTTTTTAAACCTTATAAATAATTAGTTTAGAATATTACTATGGTAGTAACTCTATTATGATATAATTTAAGATTGTGCATCGCTATAGAGTGTAACGAGATGAGTACTTAGTAGAACTCCTGATCCGACCCGTTTTGCGATATGTGTTCTGTTAGGATTTTCGGAAGCTCGAAACGACAACCGGAACGATTTGCAAAGAGGGGTCGGAACGGTTTTGTGTTTAGGGAGTAAGGAGATTGAAAGATAGAGAATTGCACAGTGATTTATAGTGGTTCGACTTTCTCAATCAAAGTCTACGTCCACTACCTTAGCTCCTCACTAAGGATTTTCCAACAAATTCACTAATTTGTTCTTTCTTTTGAGGATAAAGAGTAACCTTACAAACTCCCTAGTTTTTCCGGGCTAAACTAGAACCTTTCCCTAGATTTTACACGGGCTAAGCTAGAACCTTTCCCCTTTACAAAAGGATAATAAATGTAAACAAGAAAACCTCTCTAAGGTAGGTGTTTACAAGATTGAGCTCACAAGAACAAAATATTTACAAGAGAAAGATGAAATAAGATTGAAAAACTCTTCTCTTGTGTTTGATTGCTTGGATAGTTGTTCTCTTGCTTCTTCAAGTGTCCTTAGCTTGTATTTATAGCTTGGAATGAGTTTGAAGTCGTATCTAGCCGTTGGGGATGTTTTGGAGCCGTTTGGGAATGATTTTTCTACTCAAAAAGGCTGCCCAGAATGGGGGAATCGGTACCCCTTCATAGGGAATCGATACCCCTTTATAATATTCAAATATTATGACCGTTGGGCTGATGAACAGTGAGGGAATCGGTACCCCCTTGGGGGGAATCGGTTCCCCTTTTACAAACTGGAATTTTTGAGCCTCGGGTTACGTTCAAACAGTGATTTACTGTTCAAATAGTAATTTACTGTTCAAATAGTAAATTACTATTCATAAAAACATTTTTGTGCTCAATTTTAAATTAAAAGAACTTTGAATTATTTTTGTAAATTTTGAATAAATTCAATTAAGTCCAAAAACATTTTGTAAATTCAATTCAAGTCCAAAAACCATTTTGTAAATTCAATTCAAGTCCAAAAACCATTTTGCCTTAAATTGTTATATCGAAACATAGTTTAACAATCTCCCCCTTTTTGATATAACAAAACATTTGAAAAATTGTTTTTGGCAAAACTCCCCCTTAATAAAATGTTTAATGAAAAAGATCCTAGTTGTTGGAAAACATATGAAAATGTTAAGCTCCCCCTTTTTCATTAAGAAATTGAATTTTTTTTATTAAGAAATTGAATTTTTCAAACCAAACTTCTCCCCCTTTTTGTTATATTAAAAATAATTCAATCTTTGATGTTCAAAATAACTTTGGAGAGTAAGTAGTAAATTTTACATTTAAAATCATTTGAAAAATCAAAAGCTCCCCCTTAATAAATGCATTCCAATCAAAATTTAGCTTTTAAGAACTTGACACTTAAACAAAATTGAATTTCAACAAAGAATAACAAACAAGTTAGTAGCACATGAAATTCAATTTATCCAAGACTAAAATACTTTATGCAATACCAATTGTTGAAATTTGATATAAATATCAATTGTTAAAATTAAGTGCATTTGCATAAAGTTTTCGAAAAATGTTATGCATTAAAAAAAAATTGATATCAATTGTTAAAGAGATATCATTTTCATTTAAACCACATGCATAATCATTTAAATTTAGGTCAAAAATTTTAAAATTTGTAAAATTAAATTATTTGAAAAATTGATATCAATTGTTAGAGAGATATCATTTGCATTAAAACCAATTTTGACCAAAATTTTATTATGATGAACTAAAAATTCTTAAAAATTAATATAACTTTAAAATGTTCATCATAATCATCTTTTCAACATACATGAGATTAAACAATGATGCATAATCATTTAAAACCAAAACTCATGCATGCTTAAAATCAAATGAGCAACCAAATAACCAAAATTAAAAGCATTAAGCTTAGAGGTTACCCATTCCTTTTTCATGTGTGGCTAGAGCATCTTGAATATCATTATTTTCATCACAATTGCTCCCACACACCTACAAGAGACATTCATTTCGATTTTGGTATCCAAATTGCTTTGGATCCTTGGACGTTAGTTTCAATGCCCCTTGTTCCTTTCGGAACCCATACTTGTCTAATTTTAAAACATTTTCCTTTCTTCAAAGGACAAGTATGTTCCAAATGACCATGAAAATGGCAATGTGAGCATTTTGCCATTTTTACACATAATAGGTTATTTTTAGAAATTAATTCTTTTTCTTTTGTTAAGCCTTCAAGCTTAACTTCTAACTCAAAATTTTTCTTTTCTAAATCATTTATTTTGATTTTTGAAAGCTCTAAATCATTTTTCAAAATTTCATTTTGATTTTCAAAATCAACTTTTGCTTTCAAAATCAAATTATCTTTAATTTTGAGTTTTGAAATTAATTTCGTATATTTGGAATTCATGGTCTCAAATCCCAAATACAACCTATTATAAGCATCTTGTAACTCATCAAAAGTAAATGAATTAAATTCATTTGAGTTAGAAGATACCTCAACTTCTTCATGAGTGGCTATGAGGCATAGGTTGACTACTTCATCTTCATCATTGGAATCATCTTCATCACTCCAAGATGCAACAAATGTCTTCTTCCCCTTTTTCTTTAGAAGAGGACATTCATACATGACATGCCCCTTTCTTTGACAATCGAAACATACCGGGGGACTCTTCTTCTTGGTTGATTCATGTTTCACTTCCTTGGAAATCATGAATCTCTTGAGTTCCTTCAAGAGCTTGACCATTTCTTCTTTTTGTTCATCATCGTCTTCATCAACCTCATCACTTGAATCTTGATAGCTTTCATTGATGCCTACGTCCTCATTCTTCTTCTTCTTGTTTTTCTTCTCTTCCCTTTCTTCATCTTCCTTCACCATCATCTCATGAGTGAGAAGGGAACCAATTAGCTCGTCGAGAGTGAGAGACTTTAGGTTTCTTGCTTCGATAATGGCCGTCTTCTTTGATTGCCACTCCTTTGGAAGAGAGTAAATCATCTTCCTCACAAGCTTCTCATTTGGGATTACTTCTCCATATCCATTGAGACCGTTGACAATCATAGAGAATCTATCCGTCATAGCTTTGATGTCTTCATCGGGTTTCATCTTGAAGTTCTCGTAGCTATGGTTGAGAAGACTTTTCTTTAATTCCCTCACTTCGTCGGTTCCTTCATGAGTGACTTGGAGCTTATCCCAAATCTCTTTGGCACTGGAACAAGATGAGACTCTTCCATATTCATTTGGGCCTAAAGCACAAAATAGAATATGTATAGCCTTAGAATTAAGCTGAAAATTTTTCTGCTCTTCTCTACTCCAATCGTTGTACTTGCCGAGTGGAAATGAGTAACCGTCCATGATTGAGTACCAAGCTCCTAGATTGTATGATTGAATGAAGTACATCATCTTATTCTTCCAATGTGCATAATTTGCTCCATTGAAGAAAGGTGGCTTGTTGACCGGTTGTGAATCCATAATAGGATATTCTTCAAGATAATAAGCACCGGAGGAAAAAGTCATTTCTTTGTCGGTTGCGTCAGGAATTGCTAGAGCTTCTTCGAGGATCGTCTCAAGGTGGTTAAACCTTCTTAACGAGTTAGGCTCTGATACCAATTGTTAGGATT